CAAGGAATTCTCCAGATTGACTTTCATGTAGAATACAATCTTTATTAAGGTATAATAAAAATGTGCTAATTTGGAACATATATATACATAGGTGTACATATATGTACATATGTGTATGTGTGTTTTATTCTCACCTGCCATGAGGAAGACCCAGGTTCATTTCCGGCCAATACACCTCATGATCAGCCACCACCCATCTGTCAGTGGTGGATTGCTTGTTGCTATGATACTGAATAAGTTTCAGTGGAGCTTCTAGACTAAGATGAATTAAGAAGAAAGCCTTGGCAATCTACTTGTGAAAATCAGCCAGTGAAAACCCTATGGATCACAGCGGTCTGATTCGCAACTGATCATGGGGGATGGCAAAGAACCAGGCAAAATTTAGTACCATTGTGCATACTGTCATCTTGAGTCAGGGGGCAACTCCACAGTAGCTAACAACAATAATATATGATTAAAAATTATCAATAATTAATGCAACAATAACTTACCAATAATTGCAACAATAAAACATTTAAACAAGAAAAGATTTTGGGGGGGAAGAGGATTTTTATCATTGACATTGCTTAGAATTCCCAACATATGGTTATAATAAGAAGCAGACTGACTTTTAGTTGGTTTTATTATTTTAAAAAATTATCTACAAATAATTCAGCCCCTATTGTCTGCATCTCAGGTTGTAGATTCATCTCAGGTGTTTGTTCCATAGGCTTAGAAGTGTGAAAGAGCAATTACTTCAGGAGTCTGATATTGTTGGATCTTTACAATTTGGAGAATATCATCTATTTATTTGCTTTACAATAAAAAAGAACGTTTAAATAATCTGTGAATGTGATTATATAAAAATATAATGATTGGAACTGTGACAGCCATCTTGTGTCTATGTGTCAACAAATCTGAGGATGACAGAGTAGAAAAAGACAACTGAAATACTTAATGGTGTCATTGAGCCTAGCTCCAAACTTCTCGTTATGTAATTTAATAAAATAAATAGTTATTTAAACTACTGTTAGTTGAATATTTTCTTACCTGCAACTGAATACCTCCTAATTGATACCCTTTATAATCAATCTTAGAAGCAAGGATGGCGAAACTTCTTCTCATGTACTTTGGACATGTTGTCAGGGGGGATGGGTCCCTGAAGGAGAACATCACGCTTGGTAAAGTAGCGGGTCAGCGAAAAAGAGGAAGACCCTCAATGAGACTGACTGACACAGTGGCTGCAAAAACGGGCTCAAGCATAACAACGATCGTGAGGATGGCTCAGGACTGGGCAATGTTTCGTTCTGTTGTACATAGGGGGCTATGAGTCGGAAATGACTTGACAGCACGTAACAACAGCACCATAATCAATCTTATTAGGAAGTTGCTCCTGGATAGTAAGATTCTGTTCCCTGTCTACATTCTTACCTCCTATTGTCAGTGCAGTCTGGCCTGCAAAACCATGTAGTCAATAGTTTTGCCCTCACTGGTCCCCTGAAACTGTTCATACCAATGGCACCAATGGATCTCTGTTGCTTAACCCAAGGGACACTCTTCTCTTCCCTTGCCTTTCATGACATCACAATTTGAAACTAAGTATTTACCTGGTTTGGGTAGCTAAATGCTTGACCTCTCTGTAAGCTCCATGAAGGCAGGGATCATGTCTGTTTTGTTCACCACTGTTTTCTCAGTGGAGCCCTGGTGGCGCAGTAGTTCAGAGCTTGGCTGCTAACCAAAAGGTTGGCGGTTCAAATCCACTAGCCACTCCTTGGAAACCCTACAGGGCAGTTTTACTCTGTCCTATAGGGTTGCTATGATGGCAATGGGTTAGGTTTGGTTTTGGTTTTCCCAGTACCTGGCTATAGTAAGTAGTCAACGAATATGTGTAGACTAATGAATACCTCAGAATTCCCTGGTGGTGCAAACAGTTAACATGCTCGACTGCTAACCTAAAGGCTGGAGGTTCAAGTCCCCCCTTAGGCACCTCAGAAGAAAGGCCTGGAGGTCTACTTTCAAAAAACCAGCCATTGAAAACTCTATAGAGCACAGTTCTATTCTGACACACATGGGGTCAACATGAGTCAGGTCAACTGATGGTAATTCATTTGTTTTTTGTTTGTTTGTTTTCGTAATGAATACTTCACTAAGGAAAACAATTGCTCACCGAACTTTAAATACAAGAAAGGCTCTAGTAGATGATTCTGTAATTTGTGCTTGGTTGGTGACAGAGCTGGGAAAAGGAAATCTTCTGACCTTCCGTCCAACAGCCTTTATACCACCCGCCACCATCTCTATGCTTCATGACATGCTACTACTTTCAAAATCTATATCTGGAGAAAATATAATTAGCTAACGTGTTATCATTTTATAATTCATAATACAGCTTCCTATAAACTTCTGAAATATTCTAAAGATTCATTAATAGCAGAGAGATAAACAACGGCAGGATGATAATTTCTATTTTTATATAAAGATTCATCAGAAAAAGGGTATAATTAACTTGATTTTTAGTTCCCTGCTTTTTTGGGATTTTGACTAAAGGATGCTGTTTGTATAGCTGAAACTTTCTTCCTTTCACAGGTTCTATGATTCCTGATAATGTCAACCTTTCTTTTTGTCCAATTTGAATATGCACAAAATCCTTTCAGTAAGATTCCAAAATCCAGGCTGCCTGCTACTTAATATCCCACACAGCAAACTTTTAAATGTTTGGGTTTTTTTTATGTCACCTTTCCTATCAGTAGAAAATGAGAAAGACAGATTAGTTAGGATGTGAACATTTGTGAAGTAACAACATCCATAAACATTTTGATAATGTGTTGACTGAAAAGTGCTTTTGCAGTCCTGAAAAGCTTCCCAGTTCAAGGGGAGAAAGTCCTTTCATTTATCATCATACTCTTGAGAATGTTCTTTCCTAAGCGGTAGACACAGGCTTCTGCATATCACTAAAGTACTCTCAAGCGTGTTGGTTGTTTGCTGTTCATGGCTGGCACTAATCCTCAGCCCATTCCTTTGAGGCTGCTCTCAGTATAAGGCCCACTTTCCAGAAGCTAGTGGTTTAAGGAGTCCCTGAGTAGTGTAAATGGTTAAGTGCTCGGCTACTAACTGAAAGGTTGGCAGTTTGAACCCATCCAGAGGTGGCTTGGAAGAAAGGCCTGGTGATCTACTTCTGAAAGGTCACAGCCTTGAAAAGCTTGTGGAGTGCAGTTCTACTCTGAAACACATGGGGTTGCCATGAGTCAGAATCGACTAGACAGCAACTGGTTTGCTTTTTTTGGTAGTAATTTTAGATGGGCTCTTTTGAGTCAAGGATCTTACCCTAGGACTGGCCGAAAAGCCATCAAGAGCTGAGAATGCTAAGAATTGCTCTTTAACTGTCTCTCTCAAGGCTTCCCTCCTGTCAGGAACTCTCATCACCCCGAGACTTTAAAGCTTCAAGGCTTCTCATCCTATGCATCTTCTCTGCTTCAGCTCCTAGTACTAACCAACTTATTTTCTGATGTTTCACAGTTCAAATTCCCAAGGGAGGAAACCGGGTTAACTTGGCTCCTCTTTCCATGGCCAAGTTGTTTTAGGTCATTGATCAGGCTATGGATCAGCTGAACCCACTGCCTAGGCCAGGACCACTGGCTGGGTGGGAATGGGGGTGCTGGGGTCACCTACAAAACTTAACAGCACCTAATATACAACAAAAAAGACAAGAGGGCAACTTCTTAAGGAAAGCAGGATGTAGACTCCTTCTATACTGTGAGTAGGATTTTCTTACACATTTAATATTTATCTAAATACCCTCCTATTGTTATAGTGCTATATTAACTGTATGATACGAATTCAATACTGTGGTATTTTCATTATTGCTTCTTGCCATTAAATATCAAAAATCTGGAAGAGTCTAAACCTATTTTGCAGAAGATGAATCTAGTGATGGTAAGTAGATATCCTAAGATCATAGGGCTACAGAGGCAAAGAATGAGAAGCTGGATCTTCCAGTTCTCAGCCAAAGGCTTTAACCAGCACTTAACACCAGAACTAAGATAGAGCAACTGGATAATATTCCCAATAATTAGGAAATATTTGTTACCAGCAGGATTTCCCCTTTTCTTATGTAACAGTATATACCAAAGAAAAATGAATAGAATATTGAAGAGTTCCAATATATGACTACTTATATGAAGCATTTAAGGAGCCCTGGTGGCACAGTGGTTGAGCACTGGGCTGCTAAATGAAAGGTTAGTGGTTCAAACCCACTAGCTGTTTGGTGGGAGAATGACGTGACAGTCTGCTTTCGTAAAGATTACAAGCATTGGAAGCTCTATGGGGGGGCAGTTCTACTCCGTCCTATAGGGTCGCTATGAGTTAGAATCAATTTCATAGCATCCAACAACATGAAGTATTTCAAATGTAAATTTGGGTCCTTTTCAAAACTTACACGTTAAGAAATTATTTTAAAGTTTATTCTAATTATATAACCTTATCATGCTTCATATTCAGCTTTGTTTAATATCTAGAAAAAGCTCAATAAATGTATAATAAATGTGTGATATAAATTAATTATAAATGATAAACCGTCTTTTAAAAAAACTTCTGACTTATTCAACTAAACTGAAATAATTTCAAGAAGTATATCAAAGAATTATTTCTAAGTGTATTTTTTTTCTCTGTACATAGTGCTAAGGGCGATCCTGTCAGCTTTTAAACTTTTGTTTGACCTGCTTTGTCAAACACTTTGTGAAATGATATTCAGACCAGCACAGTGTGATGTCAATTTGCATTAATTCTTCCCCAAGGAGAGGTGTTCAGTATTCAAACTGTGTTTGTACTGGCACAATCTACTTACGTTTCAGCTTCATTTCCGAAGGTTTATAAGTACCCCTTCCTTTGGAAGACTGTTCTGTTTTGCAATTTCTCTTCTGAAAAACAACCTTTGAAAGGACAATAATGATATCCTATAAAGCTGCTTTCAGGAAAGTCATTAAGAAAATAATAAATATTTCAGAGACTGGAGTAAAAATGTGATTTATATATCAAGTTTAAATTTTACCATTTTCATCATAGATACGAAAAATTAAAACTATCATTTACTCATCTAAGAAAAAAATTTCTCAGTGAAGTAAATCCATCAACGGTATTGCATTTGTTTTCATGTAAAACATAATTAATTTGTTTTCAGCCACCAAGAAATATATGTGTATATCCCTAAAATTATATAATTGTTCCCTAATTCAGTTATAGTAATGATTGTATATTAACAAATTGCTAAATCTTTTGCTGACTGAGTCTCATAAACAACAACATGGGATGGTAAAAACATTCATTTCAAAGTTTCCTCATTTGTAAGAACAATGTAAATCACTAATTCAATACTCTAATATTCCACCTTGCTTAGAAAACAATTAAGAGAAAGTTTTATTAAGATTCCAAATCTAGATTTTAATGATTCTGAGATGAATTACTGGTTTCCTCTAATCAACTGGAGAAACAATTATAATAATAATTTCAAGCGCAGTCATATAGCAACGATCATTTAGTTGATTGTTAAAGGTCTTTTTCAAATTTTGTCCTTTCCACTTTTTTTCTGAAGTCGGTTTCTGGCTGGTTCCGTTAATACCAAGGGTTCTTGTATGATGACTGCTGGGTAATTTTTGCCTAATAGTTCAACTTCCACTTGCTGTCCCACTTTACTTAGCTCTACAGGGACGTATGCAAAAGCTAGACTCTTCTGGATGCTGTAACTGTAGCTCCCAGATGTTGTGTTGCCAACCACCTGTAAAACAAGACCCAACAGTCCTCAGCGTCTTGGTCACTCCATTGCACAGTACGGCTTGTGTTTCATTTCTCCAGATGAAAAAAACGAAAGTATAGATGTACCTTACTGGATGAATGAAATGCTGTCTGTGGTGATAACGCCAGAGACACGGAAGGGAAACTCAACTTTTTTCAGTAGATTAATGAAAGTTTATAAATTATGAAAAATAATTATAAAAGATTATATCTATATAATTCTGAAATTTCTCATTTTAAAATGATAAAACCTAGCTTTATTAGTACCTGACACTATTTTGCTCAGTTTCAAGCCAGGGGATCTCACAGGAGGAAGAACGGAATATTTTCATTTGATTCTTAAAAAAAAAAATTCTCTTCTATCATCAAACTAGCATGGCAATAGCGGATAAGAGGGGAAAATTTTAAAGTGCAAATGTACACTTAGTCAACTGTCCCCATTGGGGTTTAGAAAATAGCCTGTAAAAATAATGCTGAATTTTTTTTTTTAATTGTACTTTAGGTGAAGCTTTACAGAACAAATAGTTTCTCATCAAACAGTCAGTACACATATTGTTTTATGACATTGGTTAACAATCCCATGACATGTCAACCCTCTCTCTTCTCAACCTTTTTTTTTTTTTGGTGAAAATATACATAGCCAAAGATACACCATTTCAAAAATTTCTACATGCACAATTCAGTGACATCGACTATGTTCTTCCAGTTGCGCTGCTATTCTCACTTTAGATGAAGGTTTACAGAACAAAATAGTTTCTCATTAAACAGTTAGTACACATGTTGCCCTATGACAATGGTTAACAACCCCACTACATGTCAACACTGTCCTTACTCAACCTTGGGTTCCCTATCACCAGCTTTCCTGTCCCCTTCTGCCTTCTGGCCCTTGTCCCTGGACTGCTGTGCCTCATTAGTCCCATTTGGTTTTATGGGGCTGTCCAATCCCCAGCTGAACGGTGGACCTCGGAGATGACTTCACCACTGAGCTACAAGGGTGTCTGGGGGCCATACCCTCGGGGTTTCTCCAGTCTCCTTTAGGCCAGTAAATCTGGTCTTTTTTTTGTGAGTTAGAATTTTGTTCTACATCCTTCTCCAGCTCTGTCCAGAACCCTCTGTTGTGATTCTGGTCAGAGCAGTCAGTGGTGGTAGCCGGGCACCATCTAGCTGTACTGGCCTCAGTCTGGTGGAGGCCATGGTAGCTGTGGTCCATTAGTCCTTTGGACTAATCTTTTCCTTGTATCCTGTTCTCTTCATTCTCCCTTGCTCCTGAAGGGGTGAGACCCATGGAATATCTTAGATGGCTGCTCACAGGCTTTTAAGACCCCAGACGCTACTCACCAAGGTAGAATGTAGAACATTGTTGTTATAAACTGTGTTATGCCAATTGAGCTAGATGTTCCCCAAGACCATGGTCCCCACAGCCCTCTGCCCATAATGCTGAATATTTTTAAATACTTTAAAAATATTTATTAGCATATCAATAGCCAACATAAACTGAATATTCTATACGAGAGAATATATATAAAGCATCTAACATTTCATGTAAAGAATTGCTGGGTACTTAAATAAATGGTAACATTAGCCTTCTGTAGGTTTACCACATACAGAATATTTTGCTAGACACTATAGAGAATGGTAGAGAGCTCGGTTCCAGCCCTCTAGGACTTTATAGCTCAGAGACATATATATACATACATATGTATGCATATATATATGTGTATGGACGTATATACATATACATATATAATCAGAAAGCCAAGGCATTAAACATGAAGACTAATAATTGAGCCAGGATTTGTTCTACACTTTGAAGGTGGGTGGAATTAGGTTAGTAGAGATGGAGGATGAAACCTTCCAGGATAAGGGAAGACATGGAGTTAGGAATGAACAAAGAAGCAAACAGTCAAAATTAAAGAGGATGAAATAAGGTAACTTGAGATGGCAACGCAGAGGGGAAAAAAAAAAAAACTAAACGGAATAAAAACTTAGAGATGAAAACAAAGGCTTCATGCTACAAGAAAATATGTGCATAACAAGCCTTTCTAGAAGATAAGAGGACTAATGGAAACCAGATCTAAAGAAAAGGATGAAAGAGAAGGAAAAGCAGAGTACAGTAAAATGCAATATACATATATTATATATATATATACATAAAATACAGAAATGTCAGGTCAAAACACTGTATGAAAAGAAAAGTAAAAGGAAGACAACAAAAGCTAAACATGATATATCCAAAAGAACCAAACCAGCTGCAGTCGAGTCGATTCCAACTCATAGCGACTCCACATGTGCAGAGTAGAACTGTGCTCCATAGGGTTTTCAAGGCTGTGAACTTTCGGAAGCAGATAGCCAGGCCTGTCTTCCGACGTGCCTCAGGGTGGTTTCAAATTGCCAACCTTTCGGTTAGTAGCCAAGCGCTTAACTGATAGTGCCAGGTATATAGCCCTACTCAAAATGGCCTCTCCTGGCCACACAACATTGTCGTAATCCTTACATCCCCATTTCTAGCACAGTGGGCTGCTTGTAGCTGGTGCTCAAAAAAGTTCATGGGCATGAATTAGCCTGGTGATCATTCAGTTGCCTTGACAAGGAGCCTACTACCGCCAGCAGTCTTATCGTAGTATTTCTAGTCTTTTAGCTGCCATTATGGATTGAATTTTGTCCCCCACCCCAAAAATAAAAGTTATACTGAAGTCCTAACACTTGTAAATATGACCTTGTTTGAAAACAGAGGTTTTCTTTGTTATGTTAATGAGGTCATACCAGAGAAGTGCCACCTTCTGAGTGGCATCTTCTAAAAAGAGTAGAATAGACACATACACACAGAGACACACAAAAAAAATAAGCTTGCCTGAGGAGAAGACCGATATCATATGAAGATATAGCTACAAGCAGCCAAGGAATATCAAGGAATGCCCGGGGTTATAGACAAGGAAGGACCTTTCCTAGAGCCCATTCCCTGATTTGGACTTCTAGCCTCCGAAAGTATGAGAAAATAAATTTCTGTTCTTTAAAGCCACCCACTTGTGATATATTTTGTTATGGCAGCCCTAGCAAACTAAGATAGATGCTAACACATGACGTTAAATACAGACTCCTATCTCTTTAGCCCCCAGTTTTTACTTATCTCTTTGAAACCCAGAATTGGAAGCTCCCAGTGTGATTTCTGCTCATCTAAAAGAAGGTCCAAAAAAAAAAAAAAAACCAAACCCAGTGCTCTTGAGTCGATTCCAGCTCATAGCACCCTATAGGACAGAGTAGAACTGTCCCATAGGGTTTCTAAGCCCGGAAATCCTTGTGAAAGCAGACTGTCACATCTTTCTCCCACTGAGTAGCCTCTGGGTTGGAACCACAGACATTTCAGTTAGCAGCAGACTGCTTTAACAACTGCACCACCAGAGCTCCTTCTTATTATGGTAAGAACTGGTTAATTAGAGGGGGGAAAGAAAAAAAAGACTTGAATGCATTCATTAGTAAAAGCCTCTCCCTGGCAGATGATTAACTGCCAAGGTACTGCTGGGATAAGACACATGCTTTAATATTGCTTTTCTCTTGTAGATAATAGTTAAGTGATAAAAGGCAGGAATCTGGGTCAGGCAGGTTGGAGTTTTAATCAATGCTTTTTGAAAGACTTTCTTGGTAACCTTGGTTTCACTTCTGCGTCTGTAAAGCAGAGATTTGTGTTTGGAGCCCTGGGAGAATTAACCCGATTTGCTTGAGCATGTTAAGAAAAGAGGAAGAGGTTTCAGCAAATCTCTTGGTCCAATCCCCTGACTCGTAGGTCAAAAGCCCACAATTACTCTTTAGAGACAGCATGTACCATTTCCTCAGCCTTCCCACCCTCCTCAGGTCCCAGCAACGATCCATCTTGCAGTTGTTTCTGCATTAGTAACCTAAGAAAATAAGTATTTATTCTGCAAGTGCTGTTTTAAAAATATTTATCAAGTGCTTTGCTTTCAGCTGGTATTTACTTTCATTTCTCCTTTAACTTCTCTCTAATTTCAGGGTATTTTAGAAATCTGGCTTTTTCTTTTATCTTATTACTAACTCCCTAGGGAAAGGTTTCCCCCTAGCATAAATTTTAAATTGTTCTACCTTAAAATCTTCCAGATTCAATTAAATCTATTCCTTCTTTTTGCTCAGTGAATACTAAGAGCAACCTGTTCCCACCCGTTGCCTAACAGACTCTCATATTCTTTGTTAAGTCAGACACTGGTCACCTTTTTTTATCAATGTAAATAATACTTTTTTATTTTCAGCCTTTTCTCATTTTTCTCTTTATGAGACTTAGAGAAGTCTCTAACTGACTTAGAGAAGATAATGTGGTAAATGGTGTTTGAAGGAGGTAATATAATTTCAGTGGAATGACACATGGTGTTTCTTCAGCCATACCTACGTGCTTAGTTTCTAAATAATGAAAAAGAAAATCTTCTAAAATCTCTAAACTTCCTTCTCCACAAACCTCTTCTTTAAAATTTCCTTCCCAGCAAAGCTTCTTTTATAACAATACCACTCAATATAATAAAAATCCTTTTCATGCCTACCCTTATGCCTTGATTTTTAAAACTAATCCTTATTTAAAATTATAATCCCTCCCTCCAGCACTGTTATGGCAGCCCTAGCAAACTTGGACTTTATTTTTCTCCAGAAGACTCATCACCATCTGAGATGCCATATATTTCATTTATTTTATTTATTGTTTATTTCTCCCTCCCCTGGAATATAAACTCCATGAGGACAGAGATTCTTATCTGTTCTGTTCATGGCTGCATTCTCAGTTCCTGGAATATTGCTGACACACAGTAGACACTCAATAAAAATGTGTTGAATAAGTGAATAAGCTTGTACCCTTTCTCTAGCACTGGAAATATTTGCAAGAATAGAATACTAAATACCGAAAGCAACATGTCAGGACAAAGTCAAAAAATACAAAGCAAAAAGTATTTCACATCATTCCAGAGTATAAAGAGAATCAAAGAGGGCTATCAATAAAATGATGACCCAACTAAGCATCCAAAAAGCAAAAGAGCTCGTGTCAGGCAATACAAGAAATAAGTCGTTAATAAAGAAACCCACAATAAGATTAGCAGCTCTGTAAGCAGCTGTCATGAGGTAGAAAAGATGAAGACCACAGCATGTAAATTCACTGCACACATATGGCAAAAGAAATAGAATTGAAAAATGGAGCTTGGGTTTCCAGGTTTTTTTAACTTTAATTTGAGTATTGTCATATTTAAGATGGGCAAAAATCTGTCAGTTGATCATGGTGATCTGAGGTTCACAGAGACTGTTATCTGCATAATATATTTATCATCCCATGGTCCAGTAAAACAGAATGTTGGTGGAAGAATGGACATAGAATGAACATGGACTGAAGTGCTGAGAAAGTTTGATGGGATAGAGTGAAAAATGTAAAATAAAGGAAAGATGAGCTGGAGCAAATGTGATGACTAAGAAAAAAGAATACTAGAGGTGGAAAGAATCTTAGACATTATCTCCTCCAACCGCTTCATTCTATAGATGAGAAAACTGAGGCCAAGAGAGGCTAAGGCCAGGTCAGCAGTTAGTTAATGGCAGAGCCGGCTCTCAGTAAACATCATGTAAATCGTGGACAAATTTGACGTTGCAGGAAAAACACACACTAAGAAAAGAGAAACCTTTCCATTAATAGCCAAAAGGTGAAACAGCCAAAATGGCCATCAACAGATGAATGGATAAGCAAAACGTGGTACATACATACAATGGAATATTATGCAGCCATAAAGAGAAACGAAGTTCTGATGCATGCCACAATACAGATGAACCTTGAAAACACTATGCTGAGCAAAATAAGTCACAAAAGGACAAAAATTGTACAATCTCACTTATATGAAATAAGTAAATACACGGAAACCAAAGATTATTAATGATTACCAGGAGTGGAAGGGAGGGGAAAAGGGAAAGTTTTTGTCTGAGGGGCATTGAATTTATGTTAATGGTGGTGGAATGTTTTGATGAGGATAGTGATAATGGTGGCACAACATGAAAAACGTAATCAATGTCACCGAGTTGTAAGTGTGGAAGTTCTGTTGGCAGATGTTTTGGTGTGTATGCTTTCACTACAAGAAAGAAAAAAAGAAAGAAATACCAGCCAAAACACATCAAAATGTTCAAGCAAATTAGGTTTTATAAATAGTCATAAAAAGTGGAGGGAAAGAAGTTCTACTGGTAAGTAATCTGAGTAACCTTTGTTTTACTGAATACAAATAGAATAAAGTGTAGCATTCCAAAAGGCAAGTAAGGTAATTTTACTCTCCCTGAAGAACCAAATGGTTTTCATCTTGCATTTGACTTTCCGAAGTCCTACCCTCTATTGTCATAAACGTTTTCCTTTGGATTTTTTTTTTTCCTGCTAATATGCTAAATTTAGAATTGCCTCTTTCTTAAAGATCTCTGAGAATCTAAATCAGAATGCCAAATTCCTTATGAAATCCACCTCTTACATTCTCCGATATTGGTGTAGTAAGCAAACAGATCATATTATCCTCTAAATCATACCTCCCTCATTGTGCCATGTATTTACAGTTCCTGGGTTTGTTTTCTTTAATCAAAGCATGTAGGATTTTCTAAAATGAGCAGCATTTCATTTTCCTTTCAGTTCACTGCTTCCTGTTTCTTGAATGTCAGCTCAGAAATCGTAACTGTATCATCCAATAAATAAATAACAAAAAATGCTAAGGATAAACAGGAACAGGAGACTTTCTGTTGCAGAAAAGATGCCATGGCCCCTGGCAATGAGGTCCTCAGCACTCACCTTGCCATTATACCAGATGCTTTCATTTCCCTCGGGATCAACATCATCCGTTGCCAAGGTGAGGCAGACCAGTCTCCGCTTCAGCCCCTTGGCTTTAATCTGTTTCAGTGCTTGCTTTCCTATGAAGTCTGCTGGCTGCAAGAATCCAAGATAACAATGAATGAATGCTCAGACACTGTGACAAGGTTAGAGATGCAAGCATTTAAATTTGTCTTTGCTATTTTCTCGCCAATTACACATTAAATAAAAATACAGATTGGATCAAACGTCTAGACAAATATTTAGTCCTCAAATGACAGGATCAGCCATCTATTCCTTCAGACTATGTTAGACTTATGGGTAATAACTTGTGATGACAATTTTACCAGAACTACTTAGGCAGAAAAACATAAGAGGTTATACTGTGATGGTGGATTATGAAAGTGACCCTCATATCTTATGGTTCTGGACAGTGGTACTGGCTGTCAGTGAGCAAAGTGCAACTCAATTTCTACCTATAGTAAGCCTTTTACAAGAAGGAGATTTACTTTTTTGAAATGCTGTACTTTTTTTTTTTTTTTTTCCTTCTTCAGAATAATAGTCCCTGGAATATATTAACCTATTGGGTCACATTTGTTAGTTCACTTGGGAAACATTCATTGAGCCCTTACTATGAGCCCTCTGTGGGTTACAAAATGAGTCAAAGACATTTTGATCAAAGAGTTTATTCTCTAACACTGTGGTTTTCAATCATTTTTTTTTTGTTCTTTCATGAAACATATGGCATAACATTCCTATTCCTAATACACTCCCACAGGCACACCTAGGGTTATTCCCAACACAATGCAAGTGAGTGAGAGCAACACTATTATAAGGATAACCTTGAATCCATTCTTGTGTATTAAAAAAGTAAGAATCATGCAAAATTCAAGATTTTAACATTTATTTGTAATACATCTTATAAGTGAATAGGTCATGCAAGTGAGTGATGCAATAACTCTTCAGCTGAAAACACTTGGCTAATAAGACAGATAAAATTCTACCCAGAATTCCAAGGGAAACTTGATCAGTGTGATAAAATAGTGAGAGGGTAAGAGCAATGAGCACAGGAGGAAAGGCTGATGTCCCCGTGGGCCTGGGCTTTAGGGTAAGGCTTCCAGATAAATATGCCCAAAGAAGCATCTCTTATTTTATGGGAGAAAAAAAAGAGGGTGTGATATACAAATTATTTCTCTGGTGAATGATATTTAATCAGAGATTACTGTTGTTGTTGAGTGCCATCAAGGTGATTTCAACTCATAGCAACCCCAGCTGACAAAGTAGAACTGCCCCTATAGGGTTTTCTAGGCTGGAATCTTTACAGGAGCAGCTCGCCAGGTCTTTGTCCCATGAAGTCACTTGGTGGGTTTTAACCACCAACCTTTTGGTTAGCAGCCAAGCATTTAACTACTGTGTCACCAGGGCTCGTTAATCAGAGATTGCAATCTAAAAAACAAGTACTTGAAACAGTTCTCATATACAGACTACTCTCTGAAAGAAAAGAAAGAAAACCACCACAAACTTTAATTTCTTCCTTAGGCATAAAAGAAAAGGAAACAGTATTTCATGCCAGAGATGACCACCATCACCAATCTTTAGTGTTTATATAGCTCTTCCTGCACATGAAACATTGAGGATTGAGTGCAATGAATCACCCCTCGAAATCCCAGCGAAGCAGCAGGCAGGGGTCTTCACACACTCCCTGCCTGAGACCCCCAATTCACTCCTCTCTGATTCAGACTTCCAGGATGAATCCACACTTCAGGAAGATTCCTGTAAGTATTACAACTCTGAATTGCTAACTATACAGGAAACTACAAAAGGTTTCTATTTAAAAAAAAAAAACAAACCCATTGCCATCAAGTTGATTCTGACTCATAGTGACCTATAGAGTAGGGACAGAGTAGCACTGCCCTGTAGGGTTTCCAGGGAATGCCTGGTGGATTTGAACTGCTGACCTTTTGGTTAGCAGCTGAACTTTTAACCACTACACCACCAGGGTTTCCAAAGTTTCCATTAGACACTGTTAAAGTAATGTACAAAATCCAAGTCTAATTCTTCTTTCTTCCCCTGTGTGACCTGGATGGAGATAACCAAGTACGTAACTATAAAGCTTTAATATGAAGTCAGATAACAAAAATCAAAGACCCAAGTTATTTAAGACAAAACTATTAAAAAAAGAGAGAGAATAATCCCTCAGGAAGAGCTTGATTTGCTTTGAGTTCTATATGTACAATAAATTCGTGATAACAAAAGTCATAACAAACCAAAGTTCATTAAATTAAAACATGCATATCTATCTAAATACAGAAAGAAACTCTACAGCAAAATGTTTTAGTTTTTACTATGTTCTTAAAAGAAGACTTGCTACAATGGATAAATCAAGACTTGAAGTGATTTTTAGAATTGTTGTCTATATACGAGTCAATAACTACAGTGAAAACATTTACTACCTTACTGTGTGGAAAAGCACTTCTGAGTGCTGAACAAAAATTAGCAGGCAACTCACTATACAATGTGATTTGTAGAGTGCCAGGATATCCTAAACAGTTTTCTCACCTCTTGTCATGGTATCTGAGACTTTAACATTAGAGATTCATTTAGTTATTGAAGGTTTGGATTCTTCCTGAATTTCCTATTAAAGAATTTTCTTTGAATTGTTTATACAACTGTTATGCATCTGCTGTGTCTCAGATACTGTGTTTGGCACAAAAGTACTCAGAGCTAAGTAGGACATGGTCTTGTAGCTTCAGGGAGGCCCCTGGGGAGATGAGGTCCTGTCCCAGCACACCACAACATACCCTTTCCTGAAATTAATACATCTCCTCAATGCTCTAACATGTCAGAAGAAAAGAGAATAATTTTAGGTTATTGGAAACATGGTAGGATGTGACACAGGATAGCACATGAAATCAGCTATACAAATTTTGAAACATGACTCACGATTGGTTCTGTTTGTTCTATGAGAGTATAGAAATCACAAATATTTTGTAAACTTAAAACAAAGAAAGTCTAATGTGTGGACGTAGAAATGCAAACAAACAGATGCTCTGATAGAGAAATGTCCAGTGGGGGCCCAAGGAAGAGTGTGGTCAATTCTGCTACCTGGGGTGGGAGAGTGGGGTTGTGTCGGCAACGATTTTATAGAGGAAGTAGCTTAAGTTGAGTCTTGAAAGATGAGTATGTGCTCATAATAATTACTGTCTACATAGTCTTTTCCAAAAGGGCTTCACTTATGTTATAATTTGATCCTTACAACAGCCCACAGATGGTGGATTTGGGGACTAAAAGAAGTAGACTAACTTAGCCAATCAACAGACTAGTTAAGAACTAAGATCTCAGGAGTGCCAGCATTGTTCTCTTTCTCTACTTTGAGCTGTACTAACTCTGCCAGTTAAGTCAATATCTGCTACACCTTTGCAGAGGTCATGGTGAAAGCTGGCCATGATCAAAGTTGTCAGAAATGGGGCCTTCTTTGCGTGCTAGATGAGAGCTACTGGGGCAGGTGCCAGGAGGGAGATGAGATGTGCTGGAAGGGGAGCCAAATTCACGATTTTACCACAGGCTAAGTAGAAACATAAGGTGTCAGCTAATCATGAGAAAAACAGGAACAAGGAGGGAACCCACCCCCAGAAAACTTTCTTTAGAAGAAAAAATACTTTAAACAAATAAAATCTAATATTTCCATTCAACAAAAAAATAATATTAGTAAATAACATTTACAATTTATTAAGCACTTGCTATGTGCCATGTGCAAACCCTGGTGGCATAGTGGTTAAGTGCTATGGCTGCTAACCAAGACGTCAGCAGTTCAACTCCAACAGGCACTCCTTGGAAACTCTATGGGGCAGTTCTACTCTGTCCTATAGGGTCGCTATGAGTCGGAATCGACTCGACGGCAACAGGTTTCGTTTGGTTTTGGATGTGCCGTGCACTATGCTGAGGGCTTTACGTTCATGAGCTCATCTAATCTCATGACAATCCTATGAAAGAGACATTTTTATCACCAGTTCATGAAGAGAAAACTATAACTGAGGCTCACTTACATGGCAATATAAATCAGCACCTTTTGATTTTATCCATATTTTTTAAAATGACTGTGCCTGGAGTCTGTCATTGGAAAGCACAGGTGATGTGAATACTCTGAATAAAGAATGTTTCTTTTAAATTACTTCTAGGCGGCCTCAACCTGTTTTGAATGACATTCATTACACAGAAAATGTATTTGTACTACGTGAAAGGATTTGAAAACACCCTGAAGGTTAATAGTAATGAAATTTGACATCTATATCTGCATACCCTTGAGTTAGGAAGTGATCTTGTCAGTAACATCATTCTCAGACATGAATGAAAACAACTCTCTAACAAACAGCAAATCTCTAACTAAAAGTAAGGAACACATACATAAAGGACAAATAAGAAATGGCACCTGCACCTTGAGATAATTCTTCTCAATGTAACTGTGTGTCTGACTTGGGAAGAATTAAAATGGGCAAAAGCATTCCATTCTCATCTTACTTGGCTTTTATCCCAAGATTGTAGATTTTACTCTACTATATAGTTATTTTGGAGCCCTGGTGACGCAGTAATTAAGAGTTTGACTGCTAACCAAAAGGTCGGCACTTCAAACCCACTAGCCACTCTATGGGCTACTGCCCCTATGGGGCAGTTCTACTCTGTCCTATAGGTCATTATAAGTCAGAATTGCCTCGACGGCAACGGGTTTAGTTTTGGTTTTATATAGTTATTAATCATAAACGAGAGAAATGTGTGCTTGAAGGTTAATGCTATAATAAAATCAGTGCCTTCATAATGACCCAGACCAGAAATATATTCCTTTAATGAGTCACTGCCAAATTAACTGTATAAATAGCTGTTAACTACTTTGATAAACTTATAAATTCCTGGGCCACTGAGATTATAGCTTAAAAATAGTCTTGGCATGTATTTTTTAATTTATTAATTTTTAAAAGTAATAAAAACCATTAAAACAGCCACCTGTAATATGTACTCAATATAACATCCACATATATGAAAACATTAAGTAGATTTTAAGTGGAATGTATTTACTCATCTCTTATCAGCTCTATTAAAAGCACACATATTACCTAAAGGCA